TTTTAATTTAATTAATTAAATTAATAAATATTGATTAATTTTAATTTTTAATTTTTTAGATTTAAAGAATTTAACGGCGAGTTATATTTACTTGCATTTTTTTTGCATCCTCAATTCAAAGGTAAATATAAAATAGTAATAATTATCATAATATTTAATTTATTTATATAATTAGATATTGGTATACTATATAATCGATTTAATAAAATCATTATATTAGCTGAAAATATATGAAAAGGATTTGAAAATAACAAAAAATCATGTCTTAAATTAGTCTCTCAATTAAGAGATTATAAATTAAAGGAACCACCATATAATGTACCTTATATCAAAAAAAATGATACTCCATTAAAATGGTGAAATACATGTTTTTCTAATTATAATCATCTTCAAACCCTTACAATAAATATTTTTTCTATTACTCTTAATGCAGCAAATTGTAAAAGAATTTGATTAACAATTGGATGGATGTATAGAAAAAGAAGAACAAGAATGTCAATTACTACAATTAAATCTTTATCAAAGATTCATAAATATTATATTACAAATATTAAAGATGAATTACAATATTATCAACCAAATATATCTGAAAATAATATAATAGAATTAGTACAGAAATCATTAAGTAAAACATATGAAGAACTAGTTGAAGATGACGAAGTAATCATTTTATCAAATTTAAATGAACTAGAAATATTAAGTGATAATACTGGTAGAGAAGTATTAGATTATCTACATTGTTTAATTTAGAACCAATTGTTGTAGTTAAATATGTAGATGTTTTTAATTTTAAAAATAGAATAGATACAAGTCGTAATGATAATAAAACAGATGAAGAATTTGATATAGAGAAGTTAGTTAATAATATCCTTTAATAAAAATAATATGTTTTTAAATTTTTTACTTTTATTTTTTTCTTTAATATGTATATATGCTAATACAATTAAGAAACTTAAAACAATTAAGAATAAATAAGACAATTAAGAATAAATAAAAAAAAATTTATATGGCAAATAAACTAAATATAATATTTATTTTGTGATTTTGTGATTAAAAATGTTTACATGATTCAATCTAAATATACATTTAGTTTCATTTATATTATCAGAATTTTAAATAAAAATATAAAAAGAATAGAAATTCATGAGAACGGTGGTTGAGATCAGAATAGCAAGTTAAATTTTTGTGTATGTACATTTATAAAATTTAGAAAAATTTTTATTACAAATAAACTTATTCGATTTTATTTAATATTTATATTTAAAGATTTATTAAAAAAATAAAATTTACATGATTTTTTAAAATTATTATATAATGAAAATTACTATTAAAGTTATGATTAAAAAAACTCCTGCCTCCATTATCTTAAGTATAGCTAATCTATAAAAACAAATATTAATAAGTATTAGTATTAGTTATTTTTTTAAAAAAAATCCTGAAAAATTATTTAAGACTTATCTCTGATTGATTCTAACCTAAGGTTTCAAGAATCCAAACTATTTTATAAAGGTAAATTTAGTGTTAATTACCTTTTTTTTTTTAAAAAAAAAAAAAAAATACTAACTAATCCAGATTTACAAGGTTTGAAAGATGTCGTATCATTTTACAAGGTAAGTTAATCTTAATATTCTTTGTTAAATTAAAAAATTATTTTATTAAGACTTATCTTATCCAAAGATTTTATAGTTAAAGGTTTCAGATCATTCTACAAGGTAAGTTAATGTTAGTATTTTTTTAAAAAAATTAAAAAAAAAAATTTAATTAACATTTTTCTATTAGGATTTATCTCTAACCTAAAAATTCCAAGGTTAGAGGTTCTGGATTGATCTATAAGGTAAATTAATGTTAATATTCTTTGTTAAATTATAAAAAAAAAATATTCAATTAAAATTACTTCATTAGAACTTATCTCATCTAAAGATTCTATGATTAGAGGTTCTGAATCAGTTTACAAGGTAAGTTAATGTTAGTATTTTTTTAAGGGTAGGGTCTTTTGTATATAATTGATAATAATTGATAACTGACTCAGTGATCGACATGTATAACATTATAAAAATAGTAACAAATTAGTATCACCTGATCACAATTTATATTAGCCAATTATATGTTAATAAGTTTCGTATTTATTTCAAAAACTGTTGCCAAATCATAGAAGTAATAATATTTTCTGCATTTTCGCAAATTTCTACAATTTTACAACTATGAGTCAATACTGAAGATTCAGAATGAACTCTTTGAAGATCAATAACTTGAATAATACTTTTTTTATCAATTAAAGAATCTAGTAAATAAAGACACATTTTTTTTTGGACGTAATCTTATTTGAAAACGATTTGAAGGATATTCTGATACTTACATGAGATTTTTTTTAGTTACATTATTATTCTTATTTCCATAAAATATATCTACTATATCATCACGAGTTATGTAATATATGTTATTACTTTGAATTGCCGCATGTTGTAATAATACTTTTATAATTCTAACAAGCCGTAATGCATCTGCTATTACATTACAAAGATCTGGTTTATCTTTTTCTCGTTCCTTACAATTATCGCAATTATGACATTCTAAAATCATTGAATCATCAGGCCAAAGAAAAAAATGGTATGCTAGTTGTTAACGGCATTTATATACTGTTTCTGCAAATAATACCATTGTCATAACTTTTTATTTTTTTTTATACATTGTAGCATTTAGATTAGATGAATGTTATAACACTGTAAAATTAGAAAGACTAATAAAATAGATTAGTAAATATTATATATTATAATATTATAGATATTATGTTAATATTTACCTTTCTTGCCCATTACTCAAAATTGTTAATAATATACAGATATCACTTTGTGAATAAAATAATATTGCTCTGGATTGTTGTCCAGATCGTCCAGCCTGACCAATTTCTTGTACATATCAATCATAAGACATTGATAAAGTTGTATGAATTATTAAAGTAACATTATTTACATTTATACCTATACCAAAAGCTGAAGTTGCGGACATTATCTTGATAATTTTATTCTTCTAATTTGCAGATATAATAGATTATTCTTTATTTGTAAGTTTTCTATGATACATTTCTATAATAGCTGGATCAAAATTTTTTTGAAGTTCTTTCATCATATCATTACACTCTATAACTGTAGCCCCATAAATAATTGCGCGTCCTTCAAGATTATTTAATAAATCAAATATAATTTAATAAAGTTTATTTTTTGCGATTAGTTTAGGTTTAATTTCTAATGTAATTTCTGGATGATAAATAATTGAAGTTCTAATAACTTTCATATTAGGCCTTTCTAAAATTGATTGTATAATTTCTACATCAATAGGCGAACATGTTGCAGTTAAAGCTAAAACAGGAACCATCGGAAAGTCATATTTTAAAGTTCACAATTTTTTCCATGTGTCCCTATTAGAAATTTATAAATTACAATTTTTTTTTTAATTTCTTATAATTTTGTTACTTACCAAAATCCTTCATAAGAAACTATGTAATGTGCTTCATCTATAACAAACTAGAGACTTTGACTATTATAAACCTTTTATAACATAGTACGAAATTGAAAATTTTCTATATATTTTTCTAGGGTAACAAATAATATGCGACATAATCCACTTGTAATTTCAGCAAAAATTTTTTCTTGTATTAGAAGTAATTGTTCTGAAGAAGTATATAACATTGCCACCGGTATTCCCATTTCTACCATTTCTCGCTTTTTTAAATTTTTAAAAAAAAAATCAATAAAACAATCATATTTAATTTATTATTAAAAACAAATTATAACTTACTACTTGATCATCCATCAATGTTTTTTGAGGAGTAAATATTACAGTTAATCCCTGTGATAGTATACTTGCAACCGCATATATCAAACTCTTTCCTTCACCAGTCTTTAATATAGTTAATGTGTCTTGATTGGATAAAAAAGATAATATACTTTCACGTTGCTTTTCACGATATTTTTCAAATCCAAAAAATTTAGTGATAATACTGTCTATTATATTATCTTTCAAAATTAATTTAGAAGTTAATTGTTCATGATATTGTGTGTTTGGTATATAGTCGGACAAATTATGTTTTTTTAAATAACCACATAATGCGCATAATCCATTGACATATTTTTTTTGAAAAGATCGACAAACTATACATTTGAGAGATAATGATTTGAATGCAACTATTAACAGAGCAAAAGATGGTTCAAATTTATTTTCAATAAGTTCTTCTTGAATCCACAAACCATATGGAACCAAATCCTATATAATTTAATAAAGATTTAGAATTAAAATATAACTATTATACAAATTATAATAAATAATACCTGAGAGAAATCAAAATTTTCTAATCATTTTTTTTGATTAATAATTTTTTCAACCCATTTTTTTTACGCGTTTCAATTGCCATTAGATTACTTTTTCTTTTTTGCTCTTTTTGTTTTCAAATTTTAAATAGGTTTTTTTCATCCTGATCAGAAAAACTTGCTAAATTATCCGCTATACGAACTTTACATTAGAACTCTATAAAACTATTATTATTATGAATAATTGAAAGCGCATGACGAGCTCGAAAAGTCTTAGGATAATCAATTTTTTTTTCTGTATAATTCAATTTCAAACGATTAAATGCTTCATTATAACTGGTACGTATTGTCGTTATTAAACTTTGATTCTCTCTAAGTTTTGTTATTTTTTTAAGAAATTCTACATTGATTATCATCTGTACTAACTAAATTGGGAGTTGGTAAGCTTAAATCAGGATTATTTACAATCTAACAAACTTTCGGCCAACATTTTGTATGATTTCCTCGCAAATGACAAATTACACCCTCAGTATGCATCCATGCTAATTCCTTGTCGGTTGGAGTTGGAATTTCTGAATTATTAGCTCTGACAGAAGCTGCATATACACATCTTGTATAATATTTCATAATTGGTTATTCAAGATATTTCCAATTACGATCTGATGCTATTAACATTAAATAAATAAATTATATTAATTACATATAATAAATAATTCTAAATTAAATATTTTAATACCTACCTATCTTTGATCGTACAATTTTTGCTTTATGTTTTAAATCTGCAAATATTTAGTTGACTACATTTAACAAAGCCAAAGTTTTATTTGTAGAAAGGTCTCTATCAACACCAACATTTAATTTGATATTATATTTTTCTAGTATTGTTAAAATCTTTTTAATTATGGCAATTAATATAGCATATTCCATCTGTTGTGAGCTACTATCATAATTACCCTCTTGAATAGTAACACATTTTCCATCTTTAGTTTAATATTCACATTTTTTTTTAACTACATGATAAGCTAGAACTTGACGATGCCCATAACCTAAACTCGATATTGAATTTAAAATAAAATATTATCTTTATTATTATACAATAGCATTTTATACATTCAATTTTTTTTTTTTTGAAAATATATATATATATATATATAATAAATTATCATAAACTAACTATTAAATATATAGCTAACCTTCCAATTCTCCATTAAAGATAATTTCTCCACTAGCCTGTGAAGCTTCACGTACATGGCTTCATGCACAATCAAATGA